TATCCGTATCTTTTGTTTGGTAATCAGGAGTATAATAAGTTAAACGATAATCTTTAACACCTGCTTTAAAACCTGAACTGGTTTTTGTTTCTGTTTGTGGAGCCATTTTTAATAAATTATTATTTTATTTTACGATTAGAAATCTTCCCGAAATATTAGTTAAATTTTATTGTAATAAATAAAAATTTTTTATTTATTTTTATAATAGCATATAAATATTATTTATACAAAATATTGTTATAATTTCAATATTTGAATATTGAAATTAATACCGCATTCTTCTTAATATATATATATATTCTAATATTTTTAAAAATTAAATTTTATATATTATATATTATATCAAATATTATAAGGATTACCAAAATGTCAAAAAAAAGAATGATTGAGCGTGAAAAAACACGTTTTGCGTTAGTGCAAAAATATTTAAAAAAACGTCAAGATATAAAAAGCGCGCTAAAACAAGCAAACTCAATGGAAGAAAAATTTCAGTTACAAATAAAATTGCAACAATTACCTAGAAATAGTGCCCCAAGTCGATTACATAATCGCTGTAATATTACTGGAAGACCTAAAGGATTTTATAGAAATTTTAATTTATCTCGTAATACATTACGAGAATATGCACTAAAAGGATTATTACCCGGAGTTAAAAAGTCAAGTTGGTAATTTTTTTTAATTAAAAAAAATTTAATTCTTTTAATTTTTTATTTTTTTAGCGGGTTGCCCCGCTAAAAAAAAAGATTAGAGTTTAAATACTAGCCATTGATTGCCGGAGCATCAACTACTGCTAAATCTAGTGGGAAATTGTGTGCATTACGTTCATGCATAACTTCCATACCAAGATTAGCACGGTTAATAATATCAGCCCAAGTGTTAATAACACGACCTTGTGAATCAACTACTGATTGGTTAAAGTTGAAACCATTTAAGTTAAATGCCATAGTTGAAATACCTAAAGCAGTAAACCAAATACCAACAACTGGCCAAGCAGCTAAGAAGAAGTGTAAAGAACGAGAGTTATTAAAAGATGCGTATTGGAAAATTAAACGACCGAAATATCCATGAGCAGCTACGATGTTGTAAGTTTCTTCTTGTTGTCCGAATTTGTAACCAACGTTAGCAGATTCGTTTTCAGTTGTTTCACGAATTAAAGAAGAAGTTACTAATGAACCATGCATTGCAGAAAATAATGAACCACCAAATACACCAGCAACACCAAGCATATGGAATGGGTGCATTAAAATGTTATGTTCTGCTTGGAATACGATCATAAAATTGAAAGTACCAGAAATACCTAATGGCATACCATCAGAGAATGAACCTTGTCCAATTGGATAAATAATGAATACAGCAGTAGCTGCAGCAACAGGTGCTGAATAAGCAACTGCGATCCACGGACGCATACCTAAACGGAAAGATAATTCCCATTCACGACCCATGTATGAACAAATTCCTAAGAAAAAGTGACATACGATAAGTTGGTAAGGTCCACCATTATATAACCATTCGTCAAGAGAAGCAGCTTCCCAGATTGGGTAAAAATGTAAACCAATTGCGTTTGAAGTTGGTACTACAGCGCCAGAAATTATGTTATTTCCATATAGTAATGAACCTGATACTGGTTCGCGAATACCATCAATATCTACTGGCGGAGCAGCGATAAAAGCGATAATAAAAACAGTAGTTGCTGTTAATAATGTAGGGATCATAAGAACACCAAACCAACCAACATATAAGCGGTTTTCAGTGCTTGTTACCCACTCACAAAAACGAGCCCAAAAGCTAGCTCTTTCACGTCTTTCTAAAATTGCAGTCATAATTAATTCCTTATATTTTTATAAAAGGGATTCTCTCAAAATTAAAATTATACAATTATATATAAATATTTGCATTAATTTTTAATTTGTTAATATTTATATTAATTAAAATTATCTGCAAATTTATTGCTTTTTTTTTAATTAAAAAGTAATAAATTTGCAGATAATTTTTCTATTACTTTGACAGTTAGTAACTAATTTTTTGTTTTTCTAAAAAATTAATAAAATTAAAGCAGAATAAAATAACTTAATAAAATTAATAAAAAAAAATGCCTATCGGTGTACCAAAAGTCCCATTTCGCCTTCCAGGCGAGCTTGATGCTCAATGGGTTGATTTATATAATCGATTATATAGAGAACGTGTTCTTTTTCTGTGTCAAGATTTGGAAGATGAATTAGCTAATCAGTTGATTGGGATTATGTTGTATTTAAATGCAGAAGAAGAAACCAATGATGTATTTCTTTATATTAACTCTCCTGGTGGGTCTGCAATTTGTGGTATAGCTGTTTTTGATGCTATTAATTATATAAATGCTGAAGTTACTACAATTTGTGCTGGTACTGCTTCTTCAATGGCTTCTTTTGTATTAGCTGGTGGGGCAAGAGGAAATCGAATTGCATTACCTCATGCCCGTGTGATGCTGCATCAACCAGAAGGTGGAAGTAAAGGACAAGCGGCAGAAGTAATTTATGAATCTTTAGAAGTAGTACGGATTAGACACCAAATAGGTCGTATTTACGCTGAGCGTACTGGGCAACCCTTAAACAAAGTATCAGCTGATTTAGACCGAGACGTTTTTTTATCTGCGCAAGAAGCAAAAAATTATGGCATTGTAGATAAAGTTGTGGTTAATATGGCAAATATGTATCCTGAACGTAATTAAAAATTTTAAATAAAATAATATTTAGTAATTTAAATTTAATTTTATATTTAATAGATTTTTTTCATTTAAAAATAAGAATTTTTTTATGCTTTAAAAAAAGGAGTATAATAAATAATAAGATAAAATCAGCCTAATTGCGGTAATATATTTTTTAAAAAATCTAAATTATATTATTAAATTAATTAAATAAGAGATTTTTTAATTTTAAAAATTAAAATTATGAGTAAAATTTACGATTGGTTTGAAGAACGCCTTGAAATTCAATCAATTGCTGATGATATTTCCAGTAAATATGTACCACCACACGTTAATATTTTTTATTGCTTTGGTGGAATAACATTTACTTGCTTTTTAGTTCAAGTAGCTACAGGATTTGCGATGACTTTTTATTATCGACCGACAGTAGCTGAAGCTTTTACTTCTGTTCAATATTTAATGACGCAAGTTAATTTTGGTTGGTTAATTCGTTCTATTCATAGATGGTCAGCAAGTATGATGGTTTTGATGATGATTCTTCATATTTTTCGTGTTTATCTAACTGGTGGCTTTAAAAAACCACGCGAATTAACTTGGGTAACTGGTGTATTAATGGCCGTATGTACTGTTTCATTTGGGGTAACGGGTTATTCTTTACCGTGGGATCAGATTGGGTATTGGGCTGTTAAAATTGTAACTGGTGTTCCAGATGCTATTCCAGTAATAGGGCCAGGTGTTGTTGAACTTTTACGTGGGGGTGTTGCTGTTGGTCAATCCACATTAACACGTTTTTACAGTTTACATACTTTTGTATTACCTCTTTTTACAGCCGTGTTTATGCTAATGCATTTTTTAATGATTCGCAAACAAGGTATATCTGGACCACTTTAAAATAATAACTCGCAAAAGAAACAATTATAAAAAAGATCCAAAATCATTATGGCTGTTACAAAAAAACCAGATTTATCAGACCCTCAATTACGTGCTAAATTAGCAAAAGGTATGGGCCACAACTACTATGGCGAACCGGCATGGCCGAACGATATATTTTACATGTTCCCTGTTGTAATTTTTGGGACTTTTGCTGGCGTTATTGGTCTAGCTGTATTAGACCCAGCAGCAATTGGCGAGCCAGCAAATCCATTTGCTACTCCATTAGAAATTCTTCCAGAATGGTATTTTTACCCTGTTTTTCAACTTTTACGTACTGTTCCTAATAAACTGTTAGGTGTTCTTTTAATGGCTGCTGTTCCGGCAGGTTTAATTACAGTGCCTTTTATTGAAAATATTAATAAATTCCAAAATCCATTTCGCCGTCCTGTTGCTACGACAGTATTTTTAGTTGGTACTGTTGCAGCAATTTGGTTAGGTATTGGTGCTGCTTTACCAATTGATATCTCATTAACTCTAGGGTTATTTTAATATTTATTGTAATGTATGTTTTTTGTTACTTGACAAATTATTATTACTAAAAGTAGTATTGTAAATATGATTTAGTACTCTGCGGTAACTAGCTTGAAATTATGTAAGGACTGAAAAGGAGCAACATTCTAAGCTGATAAAACCACGAGGGTTCTATAGGTGGGTTTACTCACCTATTCTAAATCTGAACTCTCTTTCAAATGATTCAAAATAATTTTGAATCATTTGAAGGGCGGCATAGCCAAGTGGTAAGGCAAAGGATTGCAAATCCTTCATTTCCTCAGTTCAAGTCTGAGTGCCGCCTATATTATATTTAACTACCAACTAAAAAATGACATTAGTTATCGCTCTTACTTTTTTTGTACAAGTTACGCCTTATATATATACTAATTGACAACAAAATATTGAAAATATGGTTTATATTAATTAACAGTTACTAACAACTAATTAATTTAACATTTTCTTGTTTTCTAGATAAAGAAATTAATATTTGAGCCAATTTTATATTTTAAGTTAACAAAAAATTATTAATTTCGCGGTATTATAAAAATTTTTTTTATTAGTTTTCAAAATTTTTAAATATATGAATTTTAATATATATATTGAACTAATTTCTAAAATATTATAGTTAGACTACGTGATAGAAATTATTAAAAAAAATCTTTTTAGTAGTAATTTTTTCTAATATAAAATAAAGATGAATTTAAAAACAAATTTAAAAATGTTTAATCAAAATGATATTTTTTTAAATCAAGAGTTACCTTTACGAATAAGTGATACTTCTGTTAATGATGTATTAAAAAATCATTCTATAATTATTGATGAAACTGTAAACTTATTACTCGATTTTTATATAAAAACAAAACAAAAAAAACAAAAAATTAATGTTTTGTCAACATTGCCTAATTTAATAAATATACAACAATTAAGTTTTAAGCAATTTTTAGAGATTGGTTTAATATCCGCAATTGAAAGTCAAAACCCTTTAAAAATAAAAAATACACTTTATTCATTTGAGGTTTTTTATTTAAGTAAATACTTACAATTTAAAAAACCAGAAAAAAATATAACAGAAACTATAAATTTAAATAAAACTTACGGATGCCCTATTTATTTACCAATATTACTCAAATCTAATAGTCAATCTAAAGCTATTTTTGAATGGATCTATTTAGGGTTTTTACCGTTTATGACAAAACCTGGGCATTTTTTAATTAATGGAATTCCACGAGTTGCGTTAAATCAATTAGTACGTACTCCTGGTATTTATAAGTTAATTGAAAATAAACGTACAACTAAAGGAATAAAAGCAATCCCTTACATACGCATAGTTCCTGATAAAGGAAGTTGGCTAAACATTAGTTTTGATTCTAAAAATCGATTATGGATTACAACAAAAATTTTTAGAAAAAAAATATCTATGTTAGTATTTTTACAAGCTTTAGGTATTGATATTCATACTATTTTTAATACTATTGGTCATTCGGAAATTTTACTATCAAGTATTGTTCCTCCTGTAAAATCATTAAATAGTGAAAGACTTACACGGCATGATGCCATTTTAATTGATGCTGGTTTAATATCTCATCCTGTAACTCAAGTAGAAGCTTGCAAATATTTATATTCTCATTTTATGGAATATCGATCACCTGCAAACAAACAGCGGCAACCTATAACTGAAAAAAAAGCACTTCTTTTTTTTCAGCAAGTAGTTTGGAATTCAGAGAATAAGTATCTAGGTATTTCTGGTCGTGATCAATTTCTAAAAAAATTAGGAACTACAGGTTCTGCTTTTAATCAAATACAATTAACAAAACAAGATTTTATTTTAATTACGCAAACAATAATTAATATTTTATACGGTGAAGAAACAATAGATGATATAGATAATTTAAATAATAAAAAAATTAGAGGTTGTGGAGACTTTTTATATCAAGAATTAGCTCGTGGACTTAATGAATTTGAGACTTTACTTGATAAAAAATTTAAAAATTTTTCATTACCGCGTAAAAAGAAAAAAGTAAAATCTGGCGTTTTAAAAAAACAAAAAAAAGTAATAAAAACAACTAGTTCTCACACTAAATCCTCACTTTTATTAAAAAATAAGAAAAAACTGAAATTAAATAAAAAAAATAAAATAACCCTTGTTGCTAGTTTTTGGCAAAGTAATAGAACTATTTTATCAAAATATGTTACAAGAGCTTGGCGAAGTTTCTTTTTGGGAGGAACTTTATCACAATATTTAGATGAAACAAATCCTTTAGCAGAAATCACACATAAAAGACGTATAACATTATTAGGGCCTGGGGGGGGAAATAGTAAACAAACTACAATAAAAATTAGAGGAATTCTCCCGACTTACTATGGGAGACTTTGCCCAATAGAAACACCTGAAGGTCAAAATGCAGGATTGGTGCATTCACTTACAGTTTTTGGGCATAAAGCTTCTAATGGTACTATTTTAACTCCTTATTATAAAGTATATAAAGGACAAACCCAAAATAAACTTAATGTTATTTTTTTAAACCCAGAAAAAGAATCTTCACATGTTTTAGTTCCTTCAGATGTCCTAATTTCAAAATGGGGACGTTTGCCAAAAATGAGCCTTCCCGCTCGAAAGAACTGGGATTTTGATTATGCCAAATTAGATCAAATTACAACCCAATCTATTTCAATTTTACAAATGATTTCGTTAGCAACGAGTCTTATTCCGTTTTTAGAACACGATGATGCAAACCGTGCTCTTATGGGATCAAATATGCAACGACAGGCAGTTCCTTTATTAAAACCCGAAGTTGCCCTTGTTAAAACTAGTTTAGAGCCGAGAGTTGTATCAGATATTAATCATATTATACAAACAAGAGAGAGTGGGTTTATTACACAAGTAGTTTCAAATTCAATTCAATTATATAAACCAAAAACTTTAAAATATTTTTTTATTGATATTGGAGAATTTACAAGAAACTTAAAAAAAGTAAATATAAAATATAATACAATTTTTATTGCAAATAATTTATTATTTCCTAATGCATTAAATTTTTATTATTTACATTTCCCATTAAACAAAAATTTGTTAAAGTTTCAAAAAAGGAATAAAAATAATTTTCTTTCAAATTTCATTAATTCTAATCAATTTACTTCTTATAGTAAAACAATAAAAAAAAATAAAATCAGTTTAAATAATTTAAAAAATAATTTAAACACAAAAGATTTTTTTCTAAGTGCAGGGAATTTTTTATTAATTAAAGAAAAGGTAAATCAAAATAAGCCCAAACCACTTTTTTTAAATAATAAAAGGAAAAAAATAGACTATAAACTTTTCCACTTAAATTTATATAAACGCGGCAACCAAAGCACATGTACTCTTCAACGACCAATTGTTGCAGAAACTGATTGGGTAGAAAAATCAACTGTTTTGGCAGACGGTGGAGCGAGTGATAAAGGAAAATTAGCGATAGGGAAAAATGTTTTTATAGCTTACTTACCATGGGAAGGTTATAATTTTGAAGATGCTGTTTTAATAAGCGAAAATTTAGTATCTCAAGATATATTTACATCTCTTCATCTTGATTATTATCAAGTGGAGGTTCAGAAAACAGCAGCAGGGTTAGAAACAATAACAAACGATATACCTTTAAATTCATCAAAAGAAATTTCTCAAATATTGAACTTAGATGCCAGAGGGATTATAAAAAAAGGAACATGGGTTAAAGAAGGGGATTATTTAGTTGGTAAAACGAGTAATGTACAGTTAAAGGGGATTTCTGCACAATATGAGAAACTCTATAATGCTATTATACAACGTGAAAAATTACCAGTTAGAAACACTAGTTTTCGTGTACCAAAAGGAGTAGAAGGCCTTATAGTTGATGTTGAAATATTTCCTCCAAAACAAGATGACATTTTATTTTTAGCGCCAAAAAATTCTATTTTATGTGTAAAATTATCTCTTTTACAGCGACGAAGAATTCAAGTTGGGGATAAAATTGCTGGTCGTCATGGTAATAAAGGTGTTATTTCAAAAATATTACCTGTTCAAGATATGCCTTATTTACCAGATGGAACTCCTATTGATGTTGTTCTAAACCCTTTAGGAATACCATCTCGAATGAATGTAGGACAAATTTTAGAGTGCCTTTTAGGTTTGGCTGGAAAATACCTTAATGAGTCTTTTACAGTAAATTTATTTGATGAAAAATTTGGAACTGAAGCTTCAAGAAGTTTTGTATATTCAAAACTTTATCAAGCTTCATTAAAATCAAAAAATTCTTGGTTATTTGAGCCTGAACATCCCGGAAAAATAAAACTCTTTGATGGACGTACAGGTATTATTTTTCAACAGCCAGTAACAGTAGGATATACCTATATGTTAAAACTAGTTCACATGGTTGATGATAAAATTCATGCACGGGCAACAGGACCTTATTCCGCTTTAACTCAACAACCGGTTCGAGGACGAGCAAGAAATGGGGGACAACGTTTAGGTGAGATGGAAGTTTGGGCGTTACAAGCGTATGGTGCTGCTTATACTTTGCAAGAACTAATAACTATAAAATCGGATGATATAGATGGTAGAAATGAAGCTGTTTTGCGAATTTTTTATAATAAACCTATTGAAATGAAGCAACCCGAAAGGATTAAATTATTATTACGGGAAATTCAAGTACTTTGTATTAGTTTAGAAATTTTCGCTCCTTCTTATAATACGAAAAAAACTTGTTTAGTCGATTTAAACGATTTAGATGGTAAACTAGTATAATAGTTTTTCATCAATATTTTAGAAAAATTTAAGTTTATAATATTCTTAAAATTTTGTGCTTTATGTTTTAATTTTTATGTATTAAAAACAAAGCAAATATAAATAAAAAATATTTGTATGTTCTTTTTAAAGTTATGGTAAAAAAAAAAATTAATGGAATTAAAAAAGTAAAAATTGGATTAACCTCGCCACGAGAAATTCAAGAATGGGGTGAACGTTCATTACTTGATGGTACTATTGTTGGAGAGGTTAGTAGTTGGGAAACAGTTAATTACAAAACATTAAAACCCGAAATGGGAGGGTTGTTTTGTCAGAAAATATTTGGCCCTATAAAAGACTACACTTGTGCTTGTGATAAAAAAGTTAAAATTCCACAAGTTAAAATTTGTAATATTTGCGGCGTGGAGCGTACTTTATCTAGAGTACGCCGTTATAGATTTGGACATATAAAATTAAAACAATCGGTAGTACATCCTTTATATGCTTCATACAAGCCCTCGCCATTGGGGGCTTGTATGAATTGGTCAAATAAACGATTGCAAAGTATTATATTTGCTACAGAATTTTGTCATTTATCACCACATTTTTTAAATTTTTCATCTTGGTTTAATATATTAACAACCTTAAAAAAAAATCCTCAGAAAAGCGACCATCATTTAAAATTAAATGTAACGTCTGATAATAAATCAAATTTAGCGTCTTCTTCACCGAAATTATTTCGTGAATTACGTTCTACTAAATTTAACAATACTCTAAAAAATTCCTTGTTGAAAAGAAGTAATGCGATAAAAAGAAAAAAAATTTACAAATTAAGAACATTACCGGAAGAGCTTTTTTTATATGGTATAAATTATGATATGACGTGGGATCAAGTAGAGCATTTTCAAGTATTTATTTTTTATAGTTGGATACAGCCATCTCCTAATGAATCAATTATTCCATATTATTTTTTTACAAAAAAAATTAAAAACCAAAATTTACCACACCAAATTCGTAAAAAATCTAACAAAAATAGTAAACAAGAATTATACCAATTTCAATCATCTCCAATTCAAACAGGTGGTAGTGTTATTGAAAAAATATTAGCGCATTACAATCCAATAAACTTAAAAAGACAACTTGAGTTTGAATATGAAAAAATAAACAATGTGCTTAATTTAATAAAAATTCAAATGAATTATTATTTAAGTATCAATTATGAAAAAGAACACAGTGATCTTCGAAAAAAATGGAATCGTTTAAAACAATTCCGAAAAAAATATTTAAGAAGATTAGGTTATTTTCGAAAAATTTATTTATATAATATGCAACCAGCCTGGATGGTACTTAGTTGCTTACCAGTACTACCACCTGACTTACGCCCAGTTACAAAATTAGGTGGACAAATTTTTATTTCTGATATTAATAGCCTTTATCGCAAAGTTTTAACACGGAACAAACGAATTCCGCATAAAATGCAATTTACTGTATTTGATCCTGCTTTAAGTAGTAGTTGGAATTTATGGTGTTTTAATTTACGTTTACTCCAAGAAGCTGTAGATAGTTTATTACAAACCGGAAATGTTGATTCAAACCAAAATGAATTTTCAAGTTTTTCAAAACAAGGAAAAAACACAAAAGCCCTTATAGACTCCCTAAAAGGAAAAAAAGGACGTTTTCGTCAGCATTTATTAGGAAAACGTGTCGATTATTCTGGTCGTTCTGTTATTGTTGTTGGCCCGGAATTAAAAATTTATGAGTGCGGTTTACCATTAGAAATGGCAATTGAATTATTTCAACCTTATATTATCCAAAATTTAAAAAGCAACAATATTACAATTACAACAACTTCAGCTAAAACTTTTATTGACGAACATCGCCCAAAAATTTGGAATATATTAAAAAAAATAATGAAAGGACTCCCTATACTTTTAAATAGAGCTCCTACATTACATCGTTTAGGGATTCAAGCTTTTTTCCCGAAATTAATTAATGGGAAAGCTATTTTATTACATCCACTTGTTTGTCCTGCATTTAATGCGGATTTTGATGGAGATCAAATGGCAGTTCATATACCATTGTCGACATTAGCACGTACAGAAGCACTTAATTTGATCTGGGCAAGAAACAATCTTTTAGCACCATCATCTGGTCAACCTTTGCTTTTACCTGCTCAAGATATGGTATTGGGATGTTACTATTTAACATCTTCGGCTTCACTAACAAATTCAAATTTAAATTTAAATAAAAATTCTAAAAACTTATATTTATTGAATAATTTTGAAGTATTTAAAAAACAACTTGCACAAATAACTAAATATCATTTTTATAATTTTCAAGATGTTTATCAAGCATTTGAAAAAGGCAGTTTAAGTATGCATACACCTATATGGTTAAATTGGTCTCAACCTTTTCAAAACTTAATATTACAAAATGAAGCTCAAGCTTCTGAATTAGTTTTAGAACACCAGATTGATTTTTTTGGAAATACAACTTTAGTTCGAGAGAATAGGTATAAATCAACAACCACTACAACTTCAACTTATCTCTATATTCGAACAACACCGGGTCGTCTTTTTTTTTATAAATTAGCTTTAAATCTAAATTTTTAATGTGTTTATGAATCAAAACAATAACAAACAATTTTTTTTTAAAATATTAAGTTTAAAAAAGAGTAAAATTAAAAAAAAATATTTCAAAATGAATAATTCTAAATTTAGTAATTTACAATCTAAAATTAATAATTCATTTTTTTTTAATGGCCCTTTTGATAAAGGAAAACTTAAAAAACTAATAACATGTTTTTTAGATGAATATGGAGAAAAGAATACTCTTGAGTTTTTGGAAAAACTAAAACATCTAGGATTTTCTCAAGCAACCCAAGCTGGTATTTCATTAGGATTAGATGATTTAAAAATTCCAAATAGAAAAGGTGAGTTTTTATTACAAACAAATATTGCACTCCAAACAACAGAATATGAAAACTTAGCTGGAAACATCACTAGTATTGAAAAATCTCAACGAACAATTGATATTTGGAATACCACAAGTGAATTACTAAGAGAAAATGTAATTGAAAATTTTAAGTATAAAAACCCCTTAAATTCCTTATCTATGATGGCTTTTTCAGGGGCTCGGGGTAATGTTTCGCAAGTTCGACAATTAGTAGGGATGCGCGGATTAATGGCTGATCCACAAGGGGCCATTGTTGAATTTCCAATTCAAAGTAATTTTCGTGAAGGTATTACACTTACAGAGTATTTAATATCTTGCTACGGTGCTCGAAAAGGATTAGTTGATACAGCCTTACGTACAGCAACTTCAGGTTATCTTACACGCAGGCTAGTTGATACGGTGCAACATATTGTAGTTTCTAGCGCAGATTGTGGAACTGGCACAGGACTTTTAATTAATAATCCAGATAACGAAACACGGTTAATTGGGCGGGTTTTATTAAAAAAAATTAATAAAAATTTTTTAGATAGAAAAAGATTAATAACTATTACCCTTTTTTTTAGATGATAAAAAATTTGATTTTAATAAAAATGAAACATTTTTTATTAAAAAAAATCAAATTATATCTTCAACAATAGCAAAACAAATTTACGCAAATCAAGATAAAATTTATATAAGATCACCATTAACTTGTCAATCATATAAATCAATCTGTCAATTATGTTATGGCTGGGATTTAGCCAAAGGTGATTTAGTTAATATTGGGGAAGCTGTTGGTGTAATTGCAGCTCAATCTATTGGTGAGCCGGGTACACAACTAACGATGAGAACGTTTCATACAGGAGGCGTTGGGGGATTTTCCGATGAATCATTAAAAACATTCAAAGCGCCCTCGTCGGGAATAATAAATTTTCCAGAAAATATAACTGGTAGCTTTATTAGAACTCCTCATGGAAAAATTGTATATATGATTAAATATAATCGTATAGATCCAACACGAATTCTTTTAGAAATTAAAACGAAAAAATCAAATAAATCGTTTTTTACTTTATACGAAAGTCAATTGCCTCCGGGAAGTATTTTACTTGTTAGACAAGGACAAAATGTTCAAATAAATGATATTATTGCTCAAACTCCCCAGATAAAAACAAGTAATCAAAACTTACCAGAATCGTTACACCCAATCCAATCAAAAATAGAGGGTGAGGTGAGGTTTGAATACATGAAAATTTCTGTATCGCAACCTATTTCTAAATTTAACGTATCTTTTACTGATAATATACAACAAAATAGTTTTTTATCTCAAACAGAATCTCAATCTAAAGGATTAATTAATAACTACTTACTAAATTCAAGTAAAACACTAATTCCAATTAAAGGGGTTGTTCCGATGACACATTCTTTATTAGAAGTTGGTAGTTTTTGGGTTTTTCATGCTCATAACCAAAGGGAACCATATTCGACAAATACCTTTTTACAAATAGGTGATTTAATATCCTCACAAAGTCCTATTTTTCAAGTAAATTTTCATGTTTTGTTTCAAGCTAAATTAAAACGAATACATGCAAAAATTGTTATAGAACGTCCTATTTTAAATATACCAACAAATATAATACGGTTTCACAAAACAGCATATTCTTCTACTTCTTATAATAAAAACAAATCTGTCTTCTTTTGGAGTAATACTATCTCTCATAAAAACAGAAAATTTAAATTTGTTTGGTATCCTAAAAATTGGTCAATCAAAAGCTCTGGTTTTATTTTTCTCTCAAAAAAATATATAAAATTTAATGGACTTCAAAAAAAAGTAAAACCAAATAAAATTTTCAAAAAAAATGTTATTAATTTATTTTACTTTAAGGTTTTACAAGAAAAATTAAACAAATCTAAATCATATAATATTTCTTTAAATCATAAATTGTCAGATAACAAATTGAGTTATTTTGGTAATCTTTTTTATCTTTCTTATATTTTTTTATCCTTAGAAAATGATATTAACTTAAACAAACTTTTTCTAGCAAGTACAAATATAGAATTATTTAAATTTTTTAAAGGTTATAAAACCCCATCTATTTTTCTTATAAATAATATTTCTGATGTTTTATTTAAACCAGGATTTTATAAAATTTTATCTAAACCTATCAATAAATTACGTTATTCTTCGAAAAACAAAAAACCTTTAAAATACAAATTTAATCTTTTTAAATCTAAAAAATTAACAAAAAAATATAACAATTCATTAAAATTTTTAGCTAATTCTAATAATTGTCAAATTATAATTGGTCAATTTGTTTTTTTGTTTTTAGATAAATTTCAAATTAAATCTACCCCAAAAAAACCAAAAAATATATTTCATTATGAAAAAAATTGGACATTTTTTTCACCCTCAAAAACATTAAATACATCTTTTTCTAGTTTTAATAAATCAACAAAAAAATTTATTCTAACAAAAAATGCTTTTTTAACAAATTTCTCATTTGTAAACCAACCTGTATCTTTAGAATATCTGTTATTAACGCAGATTAATGTTTTACAAAAAAAAAATTTAAACCATTGTCAATATTCACAGCCTTATTGGTATTCTAAAAAAAATTTATTAAATATTAAGTATTCTTGGAAATCGACTTGTCACTTAAGAAAAAAATCTTTTTTTAATAATATAAGCTTTAAGCAAATAGATAAAACGTTAATTTTCTATACATTACAAATACCGTCTAAATTAAATAATAAATTAAATTTTAGTTCTATTAAAAAAATAAGTTTAAATAATAATATTGAAAAAAATTTATTGTGTATTTCTATTCAAAAATTAAATCAAAATAATTTTCCTTGCAATTTAAATTTACAAAAACAATGGGGATCTTTAATTTTTAAATCTGATAAATCGAAATTTTTTGTAAATAATACTTCGCCAGTTTTTTCAAAACAAACAACTTATAAAACTTCTTATAAAGAAGTTTCAAATAAACTATTTATAATTCAACCTGATTTTAACGTTGGGTGGCATTCTCCAACAAATTTGATGAAAATTAAATTAGAACTTAAAACACAAAAAAACTTTAAAGGATTTTATAGTGGCTTTGTTTCTGATTTTTATAAAACAAATTCAAAATCAAATTTAAAAAATATTAGTACTAAGGAAAGAAAAAAAGCTTTCAAACGGGAGAGTTTTTATTTAGGTTCTTATATACACTTACCAAAAGAAAATTTTGTTTTTGATCATAAAAATTTAAATTTTCAAACGTTTTCTAATGAGTGGGTACTACCAAATATAAAGTTAGCTGTTGGGTTTAAAACTTCTACAATTAGTGGAGAATTTATTCGATTAAAAAAATCGTTAAATCAAACTTATTGGAGTAGTTTAAGTAAAGATGATATTGTTACATTAAATTTACCGAGTAAAGCGACTGAATTAACTTTAAGGGTTGGTCAAATTTTACGATGGGGTCAACCAATTTATCACAATTTTGTCTCGCCATTTAATGGTCAAATTATAAAAATAAATCAAGGCCAGTTATCAATCCGTCGAGGTTTACCCATTTTAGCTTCAAAACGTGGAATTATTCATATATCCGATAATGATTTGATTTTAAAGAACAAACTTCTTGTAACGTTAAAATCACGCCGATTAGAGACACAAGATATTGTACAAGGGATTCCAAAAATTGAACAACTTTTTGAAGCAAGAGAGACACTCTCAGGGGAAAAATTACCAAGTATTCATAAAAAATTACAACTTTATTTTTTAGATGCTTTGGATATGTTTTATAAAAACAGCAATCAGGTGTTTTCTGCATTAACTCCACAACAACAGAAAGTACATTATTTTGAAATTGCTAATAAAATGGCAGTAATTAAAATACAAAACTTTATAGTTGAAAATATAATTGATGCATATTTAAACCAAGGGGTTTCAGTGTCTGAAAAACATGTTGAAATTGTTGTTCGAGAAATGACAACTCGTGTAAGAATATTGTCAAGTGGAGCTACTGGTTTTTTACCAGGAGAGATTATTCAATTTAAAACAGTTCAAGAAATAAATAATAAATTATATAATAGCCAACAAAGTCCAGCATTTTATGATCCTATTATTTTAGGTATTACTAAAAGCGTATTACATTCGGAAAGTTTTTTATTAGCAGCAAGTTTTCAAGAAGTGAGCCGTATTTTAGTACGAAGCGCGTGTATTAAAAAAACTGATTTTTTATCAGGATTGCATGAAAATGTAATTGTTGGTCAATTGATTCCTGCTGGGGCAGTTTTATTTTCAAAATTACCAAAAAAATATACAATATAATTTAATATTATTATAAAACATCGTTTTTGTTGCAATAAACGATGTTTTGTAATAATATTACAAGTATAAAATAGGCTTTTAGCTCAGTTGGTAGAGCGGCTGCCTTACAAGCAGCGGGTCATCGGTTCAAATCCGGTAGGGCCTAAAATATAAATATAATTTAAAAATTATATTGTTTTGAAACATTTATTATATTGGTATAATAGTAATATAATAGAAATATCGTTTTATTTTTAATAGATCTACAAATCAAATAAATTATGGCTGCACAATTTTTACCAAGTATATTAGTTCCATTAGTTGGGCTTCTTTTTCCTGCAATAG